CGTTAAAATCGTTGTGTCGATTTGTCTTGATTGTTTGATTGGGATTGATATTTACTACTTAAAATTGATACATAATCACAAATCAATATCTAGGGGATTTCTAGATTTTTCAACAGAGAAGACTTTAAAATTTTTATTGCATTTAAATCATATAGGCACATTTGAAATAATTCTTTCCCGAACCTGGATCCAATCTGGATGACCATCATTACACAAACATTCGTTTCTCACTTTCCACAATTCCTAAAAGATTGCTAAAGGTATCTTATACATAACAATTCTTTTGTCTTCTTGGATTTTTAAATAAATCAATTAGTTCCATGAAATAAGTTGGCTCTACAAGAACAAATATTAACCATTCCAAGTCGAATTGCATCAACTTCTCTGAATGCATCTTGATGAACTTACAATATCCAATTGTTTGTCTGTGAGCTTGTGAACTATAAAACCTAATTGGTTTATACAGTAACATCAAAATATCCATTCGTTTCTCACTTTTTACAATTCCCAAAAAATTGCTAAAGGTAATACATCCTAAACCACTTTAATTTTCTTTCTCATAGGAAAATCAAGCCACCACAAGAGTAATTGTTAGAAACATAGACAATTTCAATTAACAAGTAAAAAATTACTGTCTCATATTAGTTACATGAGTACAAAATTCAATTACCCACACATCATATTTCACACACTCAAGCCAAATTTCAAGTATATATACATATATATATGGAATCAAAACAACTACCAAAGCAAACAAACATAAAAAACCCTAAACCTATTCAAATCATATTTTCCTACTTTTATAAACCAACCTAGTGAGTTCACAAAGGTGAAAAGGGCAGTTTCGAAGAAGGGGATTTCGGTCTAGGGTTTCATAGAATGGAGATGGAGAAGGGGAGAGAAACAAGTTGCAGAGAGAGAGAGAGAGAGAGAGAGAGAGACATACCTTCAGGTGAAGTTGAGGACAGGTTGTGTGGGATGGTCTTCGAAGGCGAAGAAGAGCTTCGGAGTTGTGTCTGAAAAACAGAAGGGTTTTGGGAAAACAACATGAAGAGGGTTTGTGGAAAGAGAACAATCTCTAATCAAATTATTTAATGGTTAAGATTATTTTGTAAATATCTAATGGTTTAAAATAAATGTCTACATGATGGGCACTATTTAATGAGGTGTACATTGGGAAATTATTCAACATTACTGGAATACCATATGTTTATGCTCCCTAACCAATCATCATTCAATATGCCCTCTCATGTTCCATAATCACCAAACACAATACCCCACCTATCCACATTCTCCACCAATCATAATACTATGGAATACCATGTGTTCATGCTTCGAAATTATTGAATAATTACTTGGTGCACATCTCGATAGCTCCTTGGAGTTGCGCTATAATTTAAAGTCAAGTTACTTACTGTTCATACTTAATTACACGAAAATTATGATTATGTGATCAAACTATTTTTTTTTTCTTATGAATGATATATATAGAGGGCCTACAAAATGAATTGTTTGGATTATTGGATCTTGTGGTGAATCCCATGGACTCTCTAGTTCTTTCAACTTTAGTCTTAAACTTGAGAAACCTAACCCAACAAAAATCATATGATAGTATGGCTAAACTCAATTTATATACTCAATTCTCTTGTATTTTAAGGGTATATTATTCCTTTTTTTACTCTTTGACATTATTTGTTACCATTAATCACTTAATTTATAAACAAAATTATAAAAACTTGTCTTTTTCTTATAATTTTTTCACCAATCACTGCATCCAAACAGAGTATTACTCTAATTTTTTCCCTTTCTTTTTTGTTGGTTTTCCAATTATGCTGCCATGCCTATGATATAAGCAACAGACATGTAGCTTTACTTTACTAAAATAAGGATGAAAAGAAAAGGGCAGAGGAATAAACTACCTCTTCGGTGCTTGGCGCGGAGGAGCTCCGGTGAGATGTTGTAGAGATCTTCGTCAACAGCTTTGGGAGGTTTTCTTCGTGGCGGAGGATGTAGCGGCGAAAGCAAAACAGTTCTCGACGGTGGCAATGGGAAGCAGTGACAATATAGAGAGAGAGAGAGAGAGAGAGAGAGTAATTTCTGAAAATGTTTGGGCTGTAGAAAAGGTCTAGCGATTTGTCAAAAACAATTAATGAGGAAATTTTGATTTTGACAAACTTTGAATGTTTGCTCCAAATTTTTGGAGAAAATTATTTGAGGGGAATTATGTAATAATCATTATATAAATAAATTTAAAAAAAACATTCATCAATAGAGTCTTATAATAAAATAAATTATTAATTTATAATTTTGTCAATTTATACTTAATTTTTTTTTTAATATAAATCCTTCATCTATTTTTATTAAGTAAAATTAATAAAAAAAAAAGAGTATTTTACTCCTCAACTATACAATGTATAACCACACCATTACTTGGAGTAACCAAAATATTTAAAATTTTAGAAACTACAAATATCGAAATCAAGTCACAAAGTTTTGTAACATAAAACACAAACACAAAATACATAATACCGTCACTAATTGGCGTAACAAAATTGTTTAAACTTACAGAAAATTACAAATGTTGTAACTAAGTCACAAAATTTCATAACATTAACCAAAAATTATTTAGCTATCCACTAATTGGTGTAACGAAAAAATATAAATTTTGTAAAAACCATAAATGTCATAACCAACTCACAAAATTTAATAATATCAACTACAAAATGCTTAACTGCACCACGACCAACATCCACGGACACATGTCCAGATCTCTGTACAACAAGGATAAACCCGGGATCACTATATAACTAAGTCACAAAATTTCATAACATTAACCAAAAATTATTTAGCTATCCACTAATTGGTGTAACGAAAAAATATAAATTTTGTAAAAACCATAAATGTCATAACCAACTCACAAAATTTAATAATATCAACTACAAAATGCTTAACTGCACCACTAATTGGCATAATAAAAATAATCCAAATTTTTACAAATCACAAATTTCATAACCAATCCATAAAATTTCATAACATCAATGACAAAATGCGTAACTAACAACACAACTAATTGATATAGCAAAAATATCCAAATTTTTTATAAACTACAAATATCGTAATCAAGCAACAAAGTTTCATAACAATTATCATAAAATGACTAACAAATCACTAAAAATCCTAGAATCACCAATCGAGATCTCTCATGATACGAGGAAGACAAAATGTAATGACAATCATTAAATAATTTAATCAACGACTTAAAGCCATGGAATAGAAAATGAGAGTTAGAGAAGATTAACCAGTAGAGTGAGAGGAAAGGGAATATAAGAAAGAGAGACTAAACGGACTTATCGCCTATGAAAATGACGTCAAAGGTGGTGTCGTTTCCGATAACGAACATCAGAGATATCTACAGTGACAATAAGGAATGCGAGAGATGTTTGAAGGATGAAGAGGACTGAGATAGTAGAACAGTACAACAAAATGTGTAATATTCATTTTTCAACAGTTTTATAACACATGTACAAATTGATAATAACAAAACCTTTCAAATCATAACTACGGCCAAAGGTTTGTACATGTTTGACATATTAATGTGAAAAAGCTAGAGTTTCAAGATAGATGCATTTAGTAGATAGAGAAACATCACCATCAATAGTGTTGAAATAGACAGAGAGAGTAGTGGCGAGTTCAATGATCTATTGTAGAGACACAGGAATAGAGAGAGGAAGAATCTAGTGAGAAAGAACTATCAACGATGGTCGTTCGATAATTTGAGTGAAATAGAGAAGTCTGAGTAAGAAACAGAAAGAGCTTAGGCACAACTAGGACAAATCAAGGGAAAGAAAATAGAGTAGAGAAAAATCACGATTAGGACAAATCACGATCGTCCTGGTCCCAAAGTATAATTGCCATCCTATGACGCGGTTCACATTCAACATCCAATTAACAACCAAAACCAAATACCCCCAACCCAACCCTTGAACCCATACACACCATCCCGCACATCGAACATATCAAAACACATTAACCATCACAATGTCAAATGCACACAATTAATCAGAACATTGGCTAAAGTGTGTCTATCAATGAGTGTAATAAATTGTCAATGCCCTATTAAAGCTAAACAATCCACACTTCAAAAAACAACAACACACTTTAAAAAAAAAAAAAACTTTTTCCCTTCAACCGATTGGAGTAAAAAATTGTCAAAGGAATCAACACATAACCCTCAAATTTCATAATATCACCAACAATATCCACATCCATTTAAGCAACATTTTGAAAATGCACTGGAATCTCGCGATCAAGGCGAAAAAAACTCGCACGGTCGTTACCTGTAGACTTGTATTTTCTGAAAGCCTTCCTAAACGTGATATGATAAATAAGAAAAAAAAAAGAAAAAAAGAAAAAAAGAAGGTACAATATGGAAACAAATTAAGGGTATAATAGTACACTAATATTATTCATTTACAACTCATAGGACCTTATGGAACATATTCTTATTTAAATAGGATTTCAAACTCTAAAAGAATATTTATAGGATCTCACATTAAATAAGTCTTCCAAATAGGACTTACAAAAAATTTTTCCTTTATTTTTTTTTTTCATTTATTTATTTAAAATTTTTAGATAACTGGAATATAAGTCACATATTTGTGCTAGACTTCTCAAAATCTGTGGCAAAGTTCTTTGTTCTGGAAATGTTCATGCCAATAGCGTCACACACATATATATTGCAAATCAGTGAAAATTGTAAAAATACATGAAGGTGCAAATAGGTATGTGTTCTGGTGAAAATGAAATTTGACCTTATTTGCAATCAACCCACATATTCCACTTACATGTTTATATTTTTGCAAGTACTTTGATACTTTTCACTAATTACAGACCCTTTTTTATTCTTACAAAAAATTATTCAATGGACTCAAATAATGGGGCACGTGGCTTGTTATTGAACAGACACACAATCCTATGATACACCATAGAATAATTAGATCTGTGTTTAAGGTTCACTTCTCTTAAATTAAAACAAACACAACATCATCAACCATATTACAAATAACCCTTTTTTACATATACTGGTGTTCACCATATATCCAAGCACAATTTAGATAATTACTAACTAACTAGATCAGGTGATGCAACCCAAACAAGATTATCAGCTGGGAAAAAATGACAGAAAGAAGACTGTCTAGGCCGAGTCCTGAGAACCTGAAACGCCGCGTGATCCGGGTCCCACTCCGACGTATCCATGTGGCAAACACCAACAGCTTCCACTCTCTCCCCATCATTGCCGCCACACAGCGCCACCTCAAACACTCTGTGATCACTCTCTTGCCCGTGACAGTAAAAAACAGCTTAAGGGTAAGGCATGGCATGACAAGCCACCATTTTTGGAGTTACAATCTCTTTCGCCACATCCAAAATAGTTTTGCAAAACAGCATTGTGGCTTGACAGGTACTTGGTGGTTAGAATTCTGAATTTTGTTTTTGGACCAAACACGCTGTAACGCCCTCAAAATAAACCTATAATATATATATCATTGACATGCAATATTAAAAGAAAGCAATTCATTATCTCATTCATCAGAGTACTACTATATGAAAACATTACATGTAACATCAAATTAAATGCCCTATAGGCTTACATCTTTCCAAGCCAACACTTGGACACAAAAATATGAGTTCTAACTCAAATACAAATAAAGCCCTAGGCTTGAATGTTTATCAAATAAAAACAAATAACTAAAGATAGTCTTCTTCAAATCCAAAAGCCAAATCCTTCCAAGCTAAGTCCTTGGAGGTAGCTTATCACCTGAACCTAAAAATGATGTTCCCATAAAGGGTGAGCCACAGCCCAGTAGAAAAATACTAAACCAAACATAAGCAAATGAATAAAGCAACAGCATCAACAGATGGCCAACCAAGATAATCAATTACTTCATTTTACAGTCTCATGACACTATTGTC